CGTACTGCCCAATATGTATATGCAACACTCTGTATTTTTCATTAATATTTGAATTTAAAAGATAATTGTAATAATTGATTATTTTTAATGTTAGTAAAATGCAGTTTGATATTTTCCTTTTTTCAGATACCTGGAGATATTGAACAGATATGTATTAATAAACAAAACAAGATGTCCCAGATAAATCTTACAATGCAGCCCTTTATCATTGTGTTGGACCCGAAATAACTCCGATTGAAAAAGTATGCTTGCAGATTGACAAAACTATGTATGAAATGCCATCTGTATTGAAGGCCGTTGATGTATATTATTTTCAAAATATTTATCACCTTCAATGCGTGTTATCCAAAAGAGTGTGAAAATTTTTGGTATTTGATTCAATGGTGCGTCTATGAAATTCATACAGCTTCGGATCAAAAAATTCCATTCGTTTTGCAGTATTCAAAATAAATTTAAACAATTTAGTTATTTTCTTACATTTCGGGATTTTTGAAATCGATTGTGTTTCTTTGAGAGGTTAGCAATTTTTTTCGATTAATATATTAATATTAATCAAAAAAAAATTTTTATATTAATTTTTAGTTGCGTTAGATTAATTAAATATTATGAACTTTTAGTTGCGTTAGATTAATTAAATACAATATAATTGTTAGTTTTAAGCAATATTTGTGCGCAGCATTTCTTTAACTTTTGTTTTTAATCTGTTCAATTCTTTCGATTAAACATATAAAAAAGTATTGAAATAAAAAAATTAAATTAACGTGGAGATGGAATTATCAGTCAAAATAAGTTGCCAATTTTGTTTAAAATAAATTTCTGGAGATACTTAAATTCATTTAAAACATTTGAAATCTCATCATTCATTCAAAATGTCATATAATTGTATTTTTTTAAATTACTATAGGAAATTTTACAAATTCTTTACTTTGGAAAAACATCTAATAGAATGTTTAATTCGAATTAATCAAATAAAATCAGTTTCCAATAAAATCATTCAAAATAATACACAAAAGATTAGAAGACATTCATTATGGAGGAGAGTTTACACAGAATTTCTCATTCAATAATGATAATTCTTCAAAAGAGAAAGATATATTAGAATCTGATGATATTCTGAATTATGTTCTAAAATATATCGCTTCATTATATAATAAATCTAATGTTCCTAGATTGATTGTACAAGAAATTGTTGAAAAATTGCAAGAGACTATTCAGAATATTTCAAAACACTTCCACAATAAATTATGTGAATTTGTATTCACACACACACACACACACAAATTTACTTTTATAAACACAAATAAAATATCTTTTATCCGTTTATTTGAGAAAGTACTAAAAATTTATTAATAATCTGATAAAAAATACTTTTTTATTTGTACTTATAAGTAAATCTCAATATAAAACACATATAAGTTCTTACATTAACTTTTTTATAGTATTTTATGGAAGAATTTCAATAGGTTAGCTGTAATCAAATATTTCAGTTAACTAAATAATTTAGATATAATTCTAATCTTTTCGAATATTGAAGTAGTGAATTTGTATAATAAATCATAGCCACTGACATATTAAAAAAAATATTTGTTATATATTTATCTTCTAAATAGTACATATATATTTATCTTCTAGTACATAATCTAAATTGTTATAAATCGTGCAAAATAGCTTTTAAATATCAAATACTGAAATAAAATATCTGCCATCGCCCGAGATATGATAATTGCATGTTCTTACATTCAGTGACTTTGAAATCTTTAGTACATTTAATTCTGTTAAATTATTTTTGCATGGTAAAGAAATCACATATGCTTTAAAATACATATCTAAATCTAAAGTAACGCATTTTCTATAATAAACAAAAATATCTCTGTTTTCATCCAACATGATATGAATCATTATTCCGAATGATAAATTGTTTTCATCTGAATCTGTAATTATTACAAAATTACGTTTAAATAAAATACTATTACATCTTATCCACGAGATGATTGCCCAGTTTGTCGGGCGAGATCATCGTCTATGGAACCGGCACATTCTTGCGTTGCAATTCACGTATAATAGCGCGTCACACGACGCGACCGGATTCACGTCCGCGTTCATCAATTACGTGCGTGAATTAGCGCCGCCGCATCTGATAGACCGAACACACTTGCGCGCACCGATCCCGACAACGACCTGGCGGCGCTATCTGGATAAGGCCCGGGAACTAGTAACGGTCAACCTCGCCAGGGCTTTCCAACGGCAGGAGCTGTACTATAATTTGCGGTGTCGGGATTGGCGGCCGAAGATCGGCGAAACAGTCTGGCGCAGAGAGCATCCCCTCTCGAATAAGGCGGCCGGCGTGAACGCTAAACTCGCGCCAAAATATACCGGCCCGTACCAGATAGGCCGAATCGTCACCCGTTATCTTAGACTTAAAAGATAAGAGGGGGCGATGGCTCCGGCATATCCACATACAGGATCTCAAGCCGGGTAAAGGGGAAGATGCCCCTACCGACTAGGCATCGAAGACCACCCCTCCACAATTCTCGGAATAAATAGACCGATTCCGAGAATCTCAGATCAATTTTTCGTAAAGATGTCTTCAAGTTGGGAGCTCTTCAACGAGATCGAGATCCTTCTGGACGAATGCCTCAAGCTGGAGACCACGACGCCTTCGCCGCTGACTCGCGCTGTCCCCAGGATGGGGACCAGCGTCCAGCGGTCGGACGTACAGAACCGGCATCAGGCCGAGTTCTTGGTCTCTTCACCGCCATCACCACCAAAGGTACGGAAGGAACAGCCGACTGCCGTGCCGACCAACGCCGTACGGCTACTACCAGCCGTTGCCACACGGCCACCACCAGCCGTTGCCACACAGCCAACACCAGCCGCTGCCACACAGCCAACACCAGCCGCAGTCGCACCACCGGCACCAGCCGCCGCATCACCGGCACCAGCCACTGCATCACGGCCACCACCGCCGCCGCCAGCTGCCTACAGTAGACCAACGCTTCCATCGCCGATAATGGTGGAATACGCACCAGGGCAGTTCGCACCGATACCGTACTTCTCGGCCGTAATTTCGCGGCGCTACAAACTACGGACCGCCGAGGGCAAACGATATAAGCTCCGCTTCTCGCGAGAAGGGCGGCTTCTCATGAGCCGTCCGCTGCCGCAGCAGGCTTCCGGCTTCCCAGAAGGGGGCGATGTAACAATGCAGCATGCATCGTTACGGCTACGGACCGAACATCGTCCGTAGCCAACAAGGGCGCATCGAGCGCCGATAAATGTTTTCATAAACATCGCGGACACTCGCCGGACGGTCCCCCCACAACCGACCATTTCGAATTCCGCCAGATGGGGGCTCGCCGGCTAGACCGTCGATGCTTGCCGATCCAAACGTCAGTCGGCTGTCAGCCGAGTATAAAAAAGGTCTAGTTGTACGCCTTTTCACCAGATCCTAGGTCCGCTGCTCGACAGCGAACATCCGATCCTGCGAGTGTACTCGTAGTCCGCCAAGCGTACTCGGCTCCTAGTTTCCAATCGCCATATGTACGAGCGTTCTCGTATCCCGCCGAGCGTCCTCAGTTTATCATATTTATCATATAGAATTCATACACCGCTCCTCCATCCGGCAGGCAAACTGCGTCGAAATTAAGCCGATCTCGCGTATCCGAGCGACCGAGCGCTGTGCACACAACCGATGCGACTGGTCTACGAACGGACCCGTGTCGCGTTCACGAACGCACCCGCCATCGGGTCACATTGTCATCCGTACATCGCATATACACACGTATACACATGCGCATACACTCCGGCGTTCATACGTTTCATTTATACATTACTGCACTACATTTATACATCTCATTACACATCAATCACACTGTACATACTTTCATGCTGTCATCCTTCATTACTGGAATAAATTAGTCTTTTTATATATCACTAACAACCGCTAGTTTTTCTGACGTGCCCCTAACCGATCGAGTACCTCATCCCGGCGAGTTATTATTCTATTATATTCTACTATAAGTAAATGCTTGATAACTATTATCCAAAAAAAATTAATTGAGTGAATAAAATATTTATTTTAGAGAATCTAAATTTAATTCCTATCTTCAGCATGCTGTAGCCAGTTTTTAATTACAGTTTGGATGGAATGGGAAGAAATACTCTTTCCACTAATACTGATGTTTACTTCTGAAAAAATTCTGTTAATAAATTTTATATAATAAAAAGTTAAAATTATAAATTATTATAAATTATTAAATTATAATTTTATTTTTATTATATATTTACTATTTTCTAAAAAGATATTCAGAATATATTATATAAAAAATATATTCAAAATATATATTTCAGTATATTATACTCAGAAATTATTAATTAAGAAACGTAAAAATAAATAAATTAATTAACTAATTCTTGAACGTTAAAAATATGTAGTAAATAGATAGAAAAAATTTAATTGGAAATAATAATCTCTATAATAATAATAATGATTAAAATATTATGGAAAAATTACAACAAAATATATTATTAACTATTTCTTTTTTACATATTATTAGATTACAGTACACAAAGTATCCAAAAAGTGACACAATTGGTGTGTAGTGGATAGTAGTAGTGGATAGTAGTAGTAGGTAATTCATATTCAACCAGAATGATATTTCCTATTTGCTTACGCAATTTTACGTTCAATTCCAAGAAAGTTAGGAGGCGTACTAGCCTTACTTATATCAATTATAATTTTATATATTATACCTCTAATAACTACTTCAATAAACACAATAAGATTCTACCCATTTAGACAATTTTTATATTGAACTTTTATCAATATTTTTATTCTATTAACTTGAATTGGGGCGCAACCAATTGAATACCCCTATGTCTATTTAAGACAAATTTTATCCCTATCATACTTTTTATATTTTATATTACTATTTATATCATATAAATATTGAGACAAATATATATTTTATTAATTAATTCAACTCAAAAGTGATTAATGATCTTGAATAAGAATATATTTTGAAAATATAATATAGAAACAAAACTTTCTATTAACTTTTTTCATAATTATAAATTTAAATAATTAATGTAAATATAATTTTAAAAGAAAAATTATTACCAAATAATTTAACACTAACGGCAAACTACTACTAAGTGCATAGCTCATACGTAATGTCCACCTAAAAAATGATGCAGATTGGTTAAACTATGTTTAATATCATTTATATGACAATTACTCATTTCTGTATCGTTGTGTATCTCTTTATATATTTTAAAATTTAAAATAATTTAACTAATTAATAAAATAATTTAATAAATTAATTT